TAACCGGGTGAGTCAATACTTAAAAAATTGCGTAGTTAGATATATTTTGAGTAAATATGTATTCTAATATTTTTGTCAAGCACAAAATTTATTGAAATAAAGTATTGGCATGACTTGCTGAAAAGGTTAAAAAAAATTAGAATAGTATTCAGATTAATATTTCAAAGTTCTTCTTAAAGTTGTTAAATTATGAGCTAAATGATTTCTAGAAGAGATTCTATTTTGTTGTTTAAGAGTTTATATTTGAGTTGTTTAATATTTTTAATAATGAATTATTGCTTAAAATGAGCAAAACTTTAATTTCTTTTATAAAGAATTAGTTCTTTATCATTAAACAATTTTTTAAATTTCTAAATTTTTCTATAACTTTTCAGAATTTGTAATTATAGTATTTGATTTTCTATGACCTTCTAAAAACTTTTAAAATTTTTTAACAAGATTTCTTTTTTTTTTTAATTTTATCATATAGTCCATAGAGCTTTAATTGTTTTATTAAGTTTTCTTATACAAATTTAGTTCTTTGTAGTATTGATTATTAGATCTGTAATAAATAAATTTCTAAATATAGAAAATAAAAATATAAATAAAAGTATTATAGACCCTATCATTTACATATAGCTGTCACAATTATCTAGCTTTATTATTATATCTAACAAAAGATAATAGAATATTAGAATATAAAATATAAGATAAATAAAAATAATATAAAGTATAAAAAAGTAAAATAATAAAATAAAAGATAATCAATAAACTAAACTAAATATAGAAAATAATAAAAATAAATTTAATTTCATTTAACTTCAGATAATTCTTTCTAATGATTATCAAAACCAAAACAACAAAATGATAAAAACTTTTTTTTTGTACTACTACCTAGGAAAACTACTTAAAGTAACTGACTATACAAAGAATATACTATAAAGCTATAATAAGCCAGAAGCAAGAACTGTAACAAGTCAGTTTTAAGGTTGTATTAGGCTCTTTAGCTATTTGATTTTAGCAAAGTGACTTTAAGTTAGTTTAGTAGAAAGATGTTGACAGTAAAATAAAGAAGTATAAGAAGGACTCCAACTATGCTTGTACTAGGTTAAGTATATAACCACTCTCTTAGTTTTGTTTTTTTGAAAAACTACTTCTTTTATTTACAACAACTAGACTTTTAGACTTAGAATTGTTTTTCTTTGTTTCTCAATAGCAAAAAGTAGAGATTTGGCTTACTCCTACTAAAAGATCTATATTCATACTATGCCTATTTTAGAAAAGTCATATTATATACTATCAAACAATAGAAACTTATAAATATGTATAGCTATATACTACAAGTTAATATCTATTAACGTCTTTGTTAGAGAATTATGTGAAGCTATACTCTGTTGATAAGTAATAAAATAGACTTAATAAAATTAGTTGATACTAGAAAGATATATACATGAGTAAACAGTATATATAATTTTTAAAAGTAATACTTGCTTTTAAGCTTACTTTTACATAGAACTACTCTGAGTTTTTCTTTTCCTTTTTATGTTAAAAAAAAAAATTTCTGTTCATCTTGTTTTCTTTTTTGTTCATTTTTGCTTACATTTAGATAGCAAACTTTTTACTTAGTAGCAAGTTTTTTTTGCTATTCTAGCTTAAATTCTTATAGTATATAGCTTTTCTGCTTTTCATTATTTGTAACAATTTTTTTTTTTCATCTTAGAACTAGATATTAACAACTTTTAGTTTAGTTTTAGATTAGATTAGGAGGAATCTAGGATCTTGATGTGAACTGAAAGTTGCCTTTTTTTGATTATTAGTAACCTCTTCTACTAGATAGAATATTACTAATAGGAGATAAAATACTTCTATAGCAGATCAAACTTAGGCACTATTTGGGCAGCTGAGTTAGTTCTAAATTGTAACAAGGAGAGTAATAAAGTATTATATCAAGATATAGTATTTTATATTATCTGTATTATCTTATTTAATAGTTTTTCTAATAAAATAAAGAGCAAAATTATCTAAGTAGAAAAAAAAAATAATAATAATAATAAAAATAAATAAGTTAAATAAATGAATAAAATAAATAAAATTTTAGTTACAGTCTTTTAAGATATCAGAACAATTAGTCACCAAACTATTGAAATAAATAATAAATAAGATTTATAAAAGGCTTAGCTTTTAAAAACTTCAGGCTTAATTAGTCTCTATTACTACTATAAGTTCAGATAAAGTATGTTAATAATACAATTTTAATCTATCACTATTTATAGAACTTTTTAGTCTATTGTCCTTAACTTATAAGCTCTATTAGCAAGTATTTTATATATATAGTAGAGTTCTTTTTAAAGATTAATAAGCTTTTGCCTTCCCTTGAGTTTACTTTTATGAAATAATATCAGATTATTTACTTTGTATTTTATTATTTGCTTGAGTTTATTATTATGCTTTTGCTTTTGATAGACCTGTGACTCTTCAATATTTCTTTAAACTTGATTTCAATCCTCTTGTAATTTTCCTATTAGATAATATATTCTTTTGTAGTAAATCCTGTTAGTCATCTTTTCCTTGAATTTTAGAGGTTAAAATTTCAACTTAAAATTCTACAGAAAGAGTTACTTCATATCTATAGTCAAGGTAGAAAGGTTTATATCTAGTAGTGTTATGCCTTATAGTCCTATAGACAAAAATATCTGAAAGTATATACAAATCCTAATTATCTTTGTTTTATTAGAAAACTTTACTAGAGTTTTATACAAAGTTCTATTAAAATATTCAACAAATCTATTAGTTTGAAGATAGTATACAAAAGAAAGCTTATACTTTACTCCTAATTAGTTATAGAAAGAGTCTGATATTTTATTTACAAAATAAGTTTCTCTATCAGTTAGTAAAACCTTAGGATATTCATATTAACAAATTATATCCTTATAGAAGAATAGTATAACTAAGGCAGCTTTGGCATTAGTTAGAACTTAGACTTTAAACTATTTGGTTAAATAGTTAATAGCAACTACAATATACTTATTGTCTTATTTAGTTGTAAGTAAAGATCTAACAATATCTATTCCTATTTGATCAAAAGGTTATCTAACTTTTATAGGGTTCAGAGGTTTAGTTTGAGTAGATTTGTCTTTTTATTGATATTTTTTTACAAGATTCTATATAGGTTTTTATATCCTCAAATATTTGAAACCAATAATATCAAAGAGTTATTTATTTAAAAGTTTTATCAATTCTAACATATCTAGCAAGAAGATCAAAGTACAAGTTATATAATATTGTTTTTATTTTATTATGTTTTATTACTTTAAAAGGTTAAATAATTCTTTTTTGTTCTACTTATAGAGTAATCTATTTACTACTATAAAATATCAAGCTTTGTTTTTAATTTTTTTTTGCTCCTTCTTATCAAAATTTTTAGATAGAATATGATTAATTAGAAATTATACTAATATATAATATGTATTTGAATCTATAATCTGTTGTTATCAATATAAATATCTATTAGTAGTATTTGCTAGGTAATGTCTAGTTAATAAATTTGAAGGAGTTGTTTCCTAAGGTTGTATCTTACTTAGTAGATCTAAGTTTAAGTATATATATTTGATCGATACACTCTCTCTTCTGACTACCTTATATAGATTTGAGAAATTTTTAAATAGACAAAATAATCTTTACAATGAACCTCATTAACTTTAAAAGCAGTAACAGAACAGAGGCTCTTTCTCTAGTTCCTAGAAAAAATAAATCTTCTGCTATAGAAGAACTTAAAAACAAGAAGGCTAAACTTGTTACAAGTTCTTTCACAGAAAAACAACTAGGAAATTTTAATACAAATCTTGTTTCTATAATTAAAAATATAGCAACTAAAAGCAACCAAGCTACATCTTCTAGATCTTTACAGTCTAGCTCTTTTAACAACTCAGTTCCTAACTAGGACAAGCAAGTTTCTTAAGAAAAAACAAACAAAAATTCTGAAGAAAACAAAAACAAAAATAACAAACAACACAATCATGTCTAACTCTGGAACATGTAATTAAGAGCAAAACAATAATAATATCTTTTTAACAACAACAACTAACATGTTAGTATATGACTTTGTTTCAACTAGCTTCAAAATAGCTACAGTAAACAACAACAACACGCTAAATAGGCCTTGGTCAAGTTTATTTGCAAAAGTAAAGAGAGGTTAATTTACCTTCTCTTCATATTCACCAAGAAATAATATTAAGTCAAAGAATAATAATGATCTTATTCTAGATATACACAATTTAGATAGTTCTTTAAATAAAATTATGATTTTTTTATATGAATCAGTTAGACATGATATTATAGCTGCTAAGCTACATATAAGCAAAGGCATACGTATTTATATTGAACTTATATTTATTAGCTTGAACAAACTCAAATACTATGCTACTAAGAGAGTAGAGATTTTTAATACAACTTATTATAAATATATCCTTACTAATACAAGAAGGTTTTTTCTCTTAGTTAAAATCGGAAATATCCCTTTAGGAGATAAAGACTTTATTTTTGATAAAATAAAAGAAGCTTTTGAAGATATTAGCCAGATTGCTTCTAATAAACTATTATTAATTAAAGGTACTTTATACTTAACTAATCAGTAGATAGTCACTTTTGAAACTACTAAGGATCCTAATCTCAAAGAAAGAATTTCTCATTTTTATATTCTTCTTGATAATAAAATCATTATAGAATAGTGTTTAGCTCCTAAGCTCTGTTATTTTTGTAACAAAGAAGGATATATCAAAAAAGACTGTGATCAATTTAAAGAAGCTACGCTGCTTTGTTAACAATACAAAGAATTTTCGTTAACAAAAGAAAATTGAAAAATTTACAATTAGAAACTAAAACTGAAAATTCTAATAGCCAAAATAGCTATAAAAAGATTATGGATATTGAAGAAATAGACAAATCTTAAACAAAAGAAATCTCTATTTCTGCCTTAGTTCCAGTTAGAAATAATGCTACTGAGAAATTTCTTTTATCTGAATTTTCACTAGCTTCTTTAGAAAATGAAATATGTAATGATTTAGACAAGAAAAATACTACTTCTGACAACATGCTAGTAGATTCTCTTGAAGAAATAGAAAAACTGATACCTCTAAATAATCCTATCATATCTATCACAAATGAGAATAATATACAACCTCATCTAGAATCTGCTGATGATGGATTCACAATAGTCTCAAAAAAAAAAAAGATAAAAAAGATCATACAGTTCAAAAAACTAATTTAGCCAGATCTGTACCTTATAAAAAAACCTGTAAAGGAGTACATAATTCACAAATCTAATTTAGTACTACTTTTCTTTAATTATAACTGGACAATTTAAATTTAGAATTGCAATCCTTAATGTTAAGAGGCTAAACAATTAATAAAAACAACGAAATATTTTAACTCTTTTAAAATCTTATAAATTAGATCTAATTATGTTACAAGAAACAAACTTAAACAATAACAATACTTTAAGCTTTCTCAAAAATCAATGGATTTTTAATTCTATTTGAACTAACAAAACTGCTATTCTTGCAGACAATAAGAATATAACTTTCAAAGACACAGAACTGAATCTAGACAACAGAATTATTTCTATGAACTTTAAGTTTAAAGATCTAATATTCTATATTTTCAATGTCTATACTTCTCTAAATTTAGATAATAGAAAACTTTTTTTTAACAAATAGACTCTTTTACTTAAAGAAGATTCTATCAATATAATTGCTAGAGACTTCAATACTAATTTATATCTGAAAAAAGATAGAACTAGTAAAGCAGCTCCTTAATATAATACAATGAAGTCACAATTACAAAATCTTATTAAAAACTTTTCTGATTCTTTAGATTTGGCTAAGTCTAGATCTTTTCATACATTTTTTCAAAAAACTGTACTATGGCATACATCTTGACTATATCTTTATTAATAAAAATAATGCTCATTTTATCTTTCAAATTGATATCAAGTTTGGTAACTCTGATCATCTTTTAGTAGAATGCATTCTTTCTTTTAGGTCTAAAGATAAAGAATCAGCTCTTTGGAGATTCGACAAAGATTGTTTCAAAAATAAATATTTAAGAAAAGAAATACTCAATAAAATCTTAAAGCTTAATGAAGCTGGAAATTGAGATTTTTACAAAGTCTGACTACAATCTATAATTAGAGCTTTTAGGAAACCAAAAGCTTTAGAAAGCAAAATTGCAAAGCTTAACAAAAATATTACTTCTCTAAAGGAAAGACTTGCTCATAACTCAGAGAATGCTTTTCTCAATACTCAAGTCAATAGACTCATCTTAGATCTTTAAAAAGAACTCACAAACTTTGCTGAAAAATAGCAAATTAGATTTAAAGCAAAATAGATAGAACAAGAAGAAAAATTAATAAAATACTTTTTTTCTAAATATAAGACCAGAAAAGCATACCCAGCCTTAAAGAATATTAAGGATCCTGAAGCTTCTATACAATCTAAAAAGAATACTCTAAAGTATATCAGAGACAAATATGCTAAAATTTATGAAAAAGAAGATATCAACTTAGATGCAGCCAAAAAGATCACAGAAAACCTTCCTCAAGTTATTTCAACACATAACCAATCTCTTACTAAAAAAATCTCTCAAGACAAAATTAGTAACGTAATCAAAAAACTCTCTAACAACAAGGCTCCTAATACTGACAGTCTCATTTATGAGTTTTACAAACTTATAGAAGAAACTATAACTCTAGTTCTTTCCAAAGTTTTTAACCAAGTATGCATCTCAAGAACTATGCCAGCTTTATGGTGCAAAAGTCTAATCTCACTAATTCTAAAGAAAGAACTTGATCTTAAAAATGTCAACAATTAGAAACCTATTTCTTTAGTAAATAGTGATACAAAAATCTTTATGAAGATCATAGCAAATCATCTCAACCAAATCTGTGAAGAGCTTGTACTTTACTATTAACAAGGTTTTATCAAAAACAGGTCTATTACAGATGCTACTCTTGATATAATTACTACTATGAGAAATCAATCTGATCCTTCTAAACAGAATTAGCTACTTTTCATAGATCAACAAAAAGCTTTTGATTAAGTCAGCCATAGTTTTTTAGAACTTATCTTTAAGAGTATGAATTTTGATAGTAGCTTTATTAGCTTAGTTTATAACCTTTTCTTTAATCAAGAAGCACATATTATCAAAGCAAAAAATATTTCAAAACTATTAGAATCAAAAGAGAAGTTAGACAGGAAGATCTACTCTCACTTCTTCTTTATATTCTAGCTTTTGAACCTCTAATAAGAAGCCTAGAAAATCAACTTCACAGAGTTAAACTAAATAATCAATCTTTTAAGGTCTCTATATATACTGATGATCTTACTATAAGAATTAGATCTCTTACAGATTAGGATATTATATTATCCTCTTTGAGTTTATATGAAGTAGCTTCTTATGCAAAAATTAACAAAACAAAAACAAAACTCATCTCTTTTACTCCTACAGCTCAAAGAGTAGAACTTCTTAATAAGAATCAATTTATTAAATCTAATAAAGATAATTTTATTACCATTCTTGGCTATAAGATTCTTACAAATAGACAACCTAAAAAAGATCTTTGGACTACAACAATTAACAGTTTTAAGAATTCTCTTAACAAGCTTTCAAACAAGAACCTATCTTTTAAAGAGAAAATTCTAATCACTAAAACTCTTATTCTTTCTAAAGTCTGGTACTTAGCCTACCTTCTCCTTTTAAACAGAAAACAAACTGCAGAAATTAATTGAATTATTTCTCTTTGAATTAAAGGTACTTTACATATGCTCTCTAAATATTCTACTTTTCAGCAACCAGTAGAGCTAGCAGGTTTTCAAGCTCCTGTTATTAAAGATATACTAGATACTTGTTTTATTTTAGTTTGGATGAAACTTCTCACCTTAAACTTCATGTAGGCTCTTTTTGAAAAAGACAAAATCACTACTACTCTAAGAAACAAAAGAAATATCTTACCTATAGCTGCTCTTAGTACTAACAATTTATATACTAAGGCTTAGTCTTTGGAATGGAAACCTTACCTTGTAGCATAGATAAGAATCAAAAGAAATTTTTTATCTTCTCTAACTAGTCTTGGAATAGAGAAGAAATCTCAATCAATGAAATTAAAGGAAATGAGCTCTTAGTTAAGAAAACTTTAGAAATACTGAAAAAAACTATCTCTATACCCATCTCTCTTCACACTTCTCCTCAAGCTTCTCAACCTTCTTAGTTATCAATTAAGCCTATATATAATAAGAAAAAAGATATTTTTTAGCATCTTTTCTATAGAGCCCTTCTCTTAAGCTATTAGCTCAAATATATAGGTCTATCGAAAACAGAAAACTATACTTAGTATCCTAACAAGTCTCAAACCCTTAAACACTTTGCTATCAATTGCTCTAGAAGTATAATTATCTGAAAAGAAGTATATTAATTTCTTAATATTAACAAAGAAAAAAACCCTCCAACCTTACTAGAACATATTTTTCAAGCTTCAAATTTCTATAATTCTTAAGCTTTCTCTGCTATTATCTGGCTATATATTAATGTAATCTATGAGATTTGGTATCGATATATATCTTTAAAATAGGGAAACTCAAATATACTAGTAGAGTCTTTTAGCTCTTTAATTAAAGATCGTATTTCTAGAGAAATTTAATCCTTAAAATTTTATACTTCTAATAATAAGTCTAAAGCTAATGGAGCTTTATATAAATATCTAAAATATATATAGCTATAGTTTATTTATAATTTCTTAATAAATGAATGCTAACTATGCCTCTAACTGCTATAGCAGTAGAAAAATTAAAAAAAAAAATTAGACAATAACTAAAGTTGTATATATGGCTTGTTGTATACTTATCATATAACTATAAAATTTTAGAGGTTTACTTATAGTAGCTCCATAATAACAAACTAATAAAATCTAATCAGCTAAGAAAGTGGCCTTAATAATAAGAAAAAACTAGATATAGACTATTTTAGTAAGTTTGCTTCAAAGTTAACTAGCTTTGCAATACTAACAATATATTAAGTATAATATATTTTTTTTAAAAAAATTCAGCAGTCATGCCATGACTTTATTTAGATTTGTTTTCTAATTGAAAACAGTATTAATTAGCTATGTACTATCTAATGTCTAATTTTTTAAGCCTTAACTCATCCAGTTATCCTGAAGATACCTATATGTGATCTGCCATAGTGACTTTTGTCCTATACTAATGTGACTTATACTGTGTATAAATTACATATAGCTAATAGAAAGGACGTCACAGCCTATTATGACTAACTTAAAAACCAACTTGCTACTACTCCCTTTTTTACTTCTCTGGCTATACTTTCTAATGCTATTTTAAGACTAATATTACAATTTTCTGTGTTCTTATCTACTCTACTACTCACTTTTCTTGTTGTAGCTTCTTTTTTGGATCATTTTTCCTTTTTTCTATCAGTGTAAATTTTTCTTTCCTAGAAATATTTTCTTTTTTCTCCCATGCTTCTGTGTCTTTGCATCGTTTTTTTCAGATTTTTTTGTATACCAATTCTATCCAAATATGCCAGAAAAGGCTTTAGAATCTCGTTATTATTCTTTCTGAGCCAA